ACTAACATCTAATTTATCTTACCAACACTGATGACACTAAAACTTCCAACATTTTTTCAATCACTAGTAAAAAAATTGACTTCTCACAAAAAAAATTATAGTTGATTAGCATTTATAACACTACGTATCACATAAAATATTCTAAGAAAACTAAATGAGTTAGATGTTGTAATATTCACAATTTTATTCAAATGAATCATGTAAAAAATATAAATGTAATATACTATTGTTATCGCCAAACTTCTTTTCATACAGGTAGAGTACAAAACATAACAAATACAAATATGTTGCATTAACTAACTTTGTCATAATGAATGTAAGAAATGTGTAAAAGAAGTTAAAATGATATATGATAAACATGTATTTTTCATGTCTAAATTATTTATTTATATCCTAAAGATGAAGAGTAAATATACATACTATATATATATATATATATATATATATATATATATATATATATATATATACACACACACACACATATATATATATATATTCATATACAGAAAAGATCAGGTCCCTCCGGATGGACGGGAGGGACCGTCCGAACTTTACTGTTTGGGGCGGTTCCCGGTAGAATATTTTGATGAAATTTTTTTAGCATGTTCCTCATCAAGTCTAGTTTGTCCATACCAAATTTCAGCTCAAAATTCGACCGGGAAGGCAGTCAAATAAATTCTTGAAACTTACTGCACATTCTGCGCATATATAAAGTGCAGTAAGTTTCAAGAATTTATTTGACTGTCTTCCCGGTCGAAGTTTGAGCTGAAATTTGGTATGGACAAACTAGACTTGATGAGGAACATGCTCAAAAAATTTCATCAAAAAATTCCACCGGGAACCGCCCCAAACAGTAAAGTTCGGACGGTCCCTCCCATCCCTCCGGAGGGACCTGAGCAGTCCTCTCTCTCTCTCTCTCTATATATATATATATATATATATATATATATATATATATATATATATATATATATACACACACACACACACAAATATATATATATATATATATATATATATATATATATATATATATATATATATATATATATACACACGGAAACGATCCTGTCCAGCCGGAGGGACAGGATCCTCCGTCCGGCCGCCCCCGTTTAGGGCGGTTCCCGGTGGAGTTTTTTGATGAAATTTTTATGGAATGTTCCTCATCAAGTCTAGTTTATCCACAAAAAAGTTCAGCTAAAAATTCGATCGGGAAGGCAGTCAAATAAGTTTTTGAAACATAACTGCGTTTTATATGTTTAAGTTGGAGCAGTTATCTTCAAAAAATTATTTGACTGCCTTCCCGATCGAATTTTTAGCTGAAATGTTTTGTGGATAAACTAGACTTGATGAGGAACATTCCATAAAAATTTCACCAAAAAATCCACCGGGAACCGCCCCAAACGGCGGCGGCCGGACGGAAGATCCTGTCCCTCCGGCTGGACAGGATCATTCCTCTATATATATTCCTCCGGCCAATCGTGATAGGCTTTGGTACGCTCCTTACTAATCTTAGAGTTCTCATAGGCCGTAAGCCTCCACTCATCTAATTCGTTGAGCTTCCAAAACCGTTCACGACCCACCAAAATAAGATCCTTATTTAATTAGCGTTTTCAGGACCCAGTAGGCCTTATGCTCTATCTCTATCGGAAGGTGGCACGCCTTCCCATAAACTAGCTGAAATGGAGTAGTGCCAATGGGTGTCTTATACGCTGTACGCAATGCCCACAACGCATCATCTAACTTATCAGACCAATCCTTCCTATGGGTCTCAACGGTCTTCTCAAGGATGGTCTTAATGTCCCTATTCGAGTTCTCAACTTGGCCACTAGTTTGAGAATGATAAGGAACGTCCCCCCTTTATGAGCGACCCCGTACTTTGTAAAGTCAGAAGGCGAGTCATGGGATCATTTCTAAAGTGAGTACCCTTATCACTTATCAAAACTCTTGGCAGTCCAAATCTAGAAAACAACTTCTTTAGAAAACGAATCACAACTCAAGCATCATTTTTTTTTAACCCGGAAGGCAAACCACCAAATTGGCGTGAAAGAATTCATAGCTAAACAATTGGCTATGAATTCTTTCAAATTGGAGACTTCTTCCTTTAATTAATGCAAATAAACTATGGCAGATGACGCCATCGACGGTACTATGAGGGTGTTTGGAACTGATTCTGCTTCTTCTTCTTTTTTAAAGCAGAAGCAGAATCAGTTTTCAGAAGCTGGTCACCCTCAGCTTCTAAAACAACTGATTCTAGGAGTAAATTTGAGTACCAGAATCACTTCTGCACTTTCACCCAAACACTCTAGTTTCTGCTTCTGCTCTCTGAAGGAGCAGAAGCAGTTTTAAGAATCAGATCCAAACACCCCCTATATTATGGCTAGACCTGTCAATGGGTCGGGTCCGGGTCAGAACGTAGTGTTCCAGACCCGGACCTGCTAAGTAAATAAAGGACCCGGACCCGACCCGTTTACCCGGCGGGTCTAAAAATTTGGACCCGAACCCGGACCGAACGGGTCTCGGAACCGGGTCGGGTAGACCTGCCAAGAATCATATGCACCAGTGCACACCATTATATAATTTTTTTGACACAACATTATACAATTTTTTAAAAATAGCAAAACATGTATATGAAAAGTAAATCAAAGTGCACAAATTTAAAAGCAAAATATATCTTCACTTTTCAAAAAAAAATCAAGGTTTATCATAGAAAATTAGTACTTTTATTGAATAAAATATCGTTTGTTGTAGATGCGTACAATTCCGCACTTTGTGTCTCTTTCTCTCTCACAGAAAACTCGTATATTAGACTAGAAATTAGGTTACAAAAAGTTCTTTTGGACTAAAAGCATATTATATACTATTATATTATCACTTATACATTAGGTATGTATTAATTTGTATCTTTTTAATCAAAGAATTAAAACTAATCACTTTATATATATATTAGTTTGTATTTTTATTTGAAGTATTATAACTAATCTCTTTATGTATTAGTGTGTGTATATATACTAATAAGAAATTTTAAACGGGTCCGGGTCCTTAACGGGTCAGAATCATATGTACCATATCCGACCCGTTTATTAAAAGTACTAACGGGTCCGGGTTCGGGTCCGGATAAACAGAATAAAATAAGGACCCATACCCGTTAAAAACAACCAGGTCCAGGTCGGGTCCGGGTCTAGACCCGACCCATTGACAGGCCTAATTATGGCTATTAAAATCTGGTCTTCCATCTTCGTCCAACCAAACCATTTAGGCTGCCCGAACCTCTATTTCTAACCGCCCGATCAGGAGATTATTATATCCTTCCGTGACTTGTAGGGCTGGGTCCGAAAAACCGAAAACCGAAAACCGAATCAAATTATACCGAACCGTAGCCAAATAAAACCGAACCGCTAACAAACCGAAACCGAATATAAAAAACCGAACCGAACCGTAGTTGTTTGGTTCGCTTTTGATTTTTACCCTTCAAAACCGAACCGAACCGAACAAACCGAACTAATTAAAATATAAAATTTATTTGTCAATTGTTAAGCATTAATCCTAATTAATCCTAATATCATTAATAGTCTTTGGTTTTCTTGTGCTAGAGAAATATGTTTGTGTTATGTGTGGTTTAGTTTAGTTTAGTTTATAAATTCATTTACACATTCATTGCATGTAATAATCTATCTATATTGAATGATGATGATATGTTTTTACTAGTTATTAGTATTAATTAATTAACTTTTATTTTTTATTTAACTTAAAGAATTCATATTGATGAAACAATAAATATTCATCTCAATTATATCACATAGAACGTATGTACTCATGAACTTTTTTTGAACTAGTCACAAACAATGTAAATTAATAATATATATACTTCTATCTCTCTCGCATACTCATATATTCAAGACATATTTATTTATTTTCATTTTTATTTTATTTGTTGTAGTGTGCTAGCATTCTTTATGTAATATGTTTGATGCTTCAAAGTATTATATCAATTTTAAATCAAATGATAATTTTTTGGTTAAAAACCGAAAAAACCGAAACCGAATCGAAACAAACCGAACCAATTAAACCGTGGTTCCAAGTTTTGGAGTGTGAAACCGAACCGAAACCGAACCGAACTTTTTACTTTGGTTCTATATTTGGTTTTAGGTCCAAACCGAACCGCAAGAACCGAACCCACCCCTAGTGACTTGAAACTCAATTTATTTACACATACATAACTGTTAAAGAAGAATGATGAAGATACATAACTGTTAAAGGCCAATATGCACCAACATATATCAATGCAAGTGTTTTTGTTGAAGCGTTTAAACTTTCAAGACAAGCGTGACAAGCATTCCTAATTAGAACGAAGAGTCAGGAGTGTTATTAGTTTATTACACTTAAGAGAGCATTATGGGCCAGTTCGCCCTTATAAGTTTTGCCACTGGCAAAAGCAATACCTTTTAGTTTATACAAAAGCTACAAGGTCTTCCAATGTTATGGGTTGGAAGGGAGGTGTTGTGGATCCGTTTCCATCGGTCAGATTTGACTTACGTATGCCAGTGCCCAGAGGTCGATTCCGACTATCTCCTTGTGCACACAAAGTTTAAGGGGGCAACAATCTATTCTATCTTCCTACATTCCTCTCACTCTACTTCACAAAGAAAAAGAGGTTCACAAAGTCTGTATTTTGAAGGCTTCACAGAAGTGATTGATATATATACAGCTCTCAAGGGATTGAACGGACGATGGCACAACACAATCACACACCTCACTTATTTGACCTCACTTATTTGGGTTCAAATTCAAGCAGGAGAAACAGATCCCGTACAAAAAAAAAATTGGTAACTAGAGTTAGAGGAGTGGGTTGAAAATAGGATGTCAACCGAATATGGTTATGTAATTATGAGTTTGAGCTGCAGCACACCATTGGTTTTGGGAGAGACCAATACCATTATCACGCGGTAGACATTAATTCCTCAATAATGTCTTCGCGTTTAACCCCAATCAAGAAATGAGCGGAAGGAATTGGTTGTTTATTTAGATGATAATGATAAATAACAGATCAATACTATCAATGTATGACATTTTTTATAGAGATTCTACACAATGACCCAAAGAAAAGAGATGATATTTGAATAGACAGAAGTAATTTTATTTTTCACATTTACTATTAATCACCATTACATTAACACACCATAAACCCCAGGGCAAAATCACACATGTTATGAAATTTCAGATCCAAACTGACGCGATATTCATCATCTAACCGGAGATTTCAATGGACTTGACATCGGGCTTCTTCACCTCAGCCTTCGGAATGGTGACGGTGAGCACACCGTTCTCCATGGACGCCTTGATCTGATCCATCTTCGTGTCTTCCGGCAACCTGAACCGCCTCATGAATTTGCCGCTGCTCCGTTCCACTCGGTGCCACGTGTCGTTCTTCTCTTCCTTCTCGACCTTCCGCTCCCCGCTGATCTGAACAACCCGGTCGTCTTCAACTTCGACTTTGACTTCTTCCTTCTTCAGCCCGGGGATGTCCGCCTTGATGACGTGAGCCTCCGGCGTCTCTTTCCAATCGACACGAGTGTTGACGAACGACGACGTCTCGCCGGAATTAGGAAACGGGAACGATAGGTCGCGGAAAGGGTCCCAAACGCCGAGGTCGGAAAGGTTGCTGTTTCTCCGGCCACCAAATATGCTTGGAATCAGAGACATCTTCAGATTAGTTGTGAATTGAATAACTGGTTGCGATTAGTTGTTTAATTTTCAAATTAGAAAGCTCAGAATTTGATTCGATGTAGGAGAAGGAGAACTAGCCGTTATTTATATGCCCTCGAGGAAGTTTCTGGTGGTTTCGGGATGATTATATTCCTTTCGTCCTATACCGTCATCTGGAATTTTCTGGATATAAGATGTTTCTGGAACATCCAACGGCCCGAATGACGTTCATGGCCTCAAATGGCATTCAAGATCAGTAAAGCCCAATCTCCTCTGCATCCAATGGAGACTTTTGTTGTTTTGGGTTGGACTATCCAATAAATTTTGTAACCTAATTTTAAAGGGTTTTTTACGAGAATATTACTAAAATTAAACTTATTTACATAAATATGACTATTCATTACTACAACGTAGTGCTGTGGTAACTAAAGTTCAAAACTTGAACATAAATTACTATGATTTCATTACTACTCTAGTAATGAATCATATTTTTGTAAACCATCTTTATTTTGTTCATATTTATGTAATTATTTCAATTTTAAAATGTATTTAGACTATGGGTGCAAATGAGCTGAGCCGCTCGTGAACCGCTCGGTCAAAGCTTGAATCGGGATCGGTCAAATTCGAACTCGAGCCGAGCTCGAGTCGGCTCGTTAAGCAGTCGAGTCATAAACGAGCCTGCTAATTTCAGGCTCACTGGCTCGCAAGCCTAATTTTATATGTGTGTATATTTATAATATATATATATACACACACACACACACATATATATATATATATATATATATATATATATATATATATGACAAATCTTCATGTCAGGCCGGCCTGACGGGCTGCTCCGTCCGGCCGAGCCCATTTGGGCACCTTTCCGGTGTAATTTTTTGATGAAATTTTTTGAGCATGTTCCCCATCAAGTCTAGTTTGTCCATACCAAATTTCAGCTCAAAATTCGATCGGGAAGGCATTCAAATCATTTTTTGAAGTTGACTGCAGTTTTCTATGTATATTTTGACGCAGACAACTTCAAAAAATGATTTGAATGCCTTCCCGATCGAATTTTGAGCTGAAATTTGGTATCGATAAACTAGACTTGATGATGAACATGCTCAAAAAACTTCATCAAAAAATTCCACCGGGAAGGTGCCCAAACGGGCTCGGCCGGACGGGGAAGCCCATCAGGCCGGCCAGACATGAAGAGCAATATATATATATATATATATATATATATATATATATATATAGGAATGTTCAGGTCCGAACATTCCTGGTCCGAACACCGTCCGAACATGGACGTTTGGGGCCCTTCCCGGTGGAATTTTTTGATGAATTTTTTTTAGCATGTTTATCATCAAGTCTAGTTTGTCCATACCAAATTTCAGCTCAAAATTCGATCGGGAAGGCATTCAAATCATTTTTTGAAGTTGACTGCGTCAAAATATACATATAAAAACTCAGTCAACTTCAAAAAATTATTTGAATGCCTTCCCGATCGAATTTTGAGCTGAAATTTGGTATGGACAAACTAGACTTGATGAGGAACATGCTCAAAAAATTTCATCAAAAAATTCTACCGGGAAGGGCCCCAAACGGGGATGTTCAGACAGAGGATCCTGTCTGAACGTTCGGACAGGATCATTCTTGTATATATATATATATATATATTATCATATATAATATATTACTATACAATATAAATTAATATATAATGTATATTATTATATGTAATATATATGATATATAATATATACCGATGAGGAGGCGGTTCAGCCCAACTGGTCGCCGACTCACTCTCCCTTATGGGAGGTCCCGAGTTCAATTCTCAATGTAGTGAGATTCTCAATAGAGTGAGATTGATCCCAGTTTACCCTAGACCCCTCAATCCCCCCTCCCCTGACGCCCCCTGGGGTATAAAAAAAAGAAACAATAATAATATATACCTATTAGTAAAAAATTATAATATTTTAGGCTTAGGTAATTACTACTCAGTAGAAACTTAGAATGGGCCGATGACAATGAATTTTTACATACGGACTCATTACGGAGTATCAAAATGGTTAACCCTAATGCTCTGTTTGGATAAAGTGAAGTTAAGTAAACCTAGTTCAATAAAGTAAACCCAAGTTTTAATAAAAACTAGGTTAACCTAAGTGAACCTAAATCCATATGTAAAATTGTGTTTGGAAATATAGAAGGTGAACCTAGGTTAATGTAATAAATGTTGTTTGGATGAAGGTACTCTAGCTCATTTTATGTTATACGAGAACTTAACCTCCAAAACCCCCGATTCGGAGGTTCTTCCAGGTTCTCAAGAGTTAAGTGAGGTTAACACATAACCTAGGTTCTTGTTGCGGAAATACAAACAAACGGGGTTAACTAGAAATTGAACCTTCAATAACCTATGTTAACCCCCAAACAAACAGGCCATAAGGAGTAAAATAATCTTCCACTATGCTATTACTTTATTACATCGAAGGCAAAAGGGCAGCCATCTCGATCTTCTTCTTCTCTCAGGCTATCACCATCTTATTTCAGTTGAAAGTGTTGAACATCATTTCAGCAGCGAGGAGCACACTGGTATGCCATCTTATCTCACTTTGTCTTTGTCTCTTTTTTTAAACAGTTTGTTTATGGTTGTTGAACAATAAAAATTGTCGATTATATGCGGTCTCCTTGACCCGAAAATTCAAGAATAATTTCTTAAGCTACTATTAGACTAAAGCTCTTCTAGTCTAGTATTAGAGTAAATATTTCTTTAATAAGCTCTGAATATATTGGTTCAGACTCCAGAGTCTGGTATATACGAGTAGTGTGCACAATATTTTTGGGATGATAGTTTAGAGAATATCACAAGCTTATATATGAGCTTAAGAATAACTAAAGTTTTGAATGATTTTTTCTGTATTCATTTTTTCTGTAGCTTAGGCCATGCTATTAGTACTCTTTTAAATATTCTTATAGTATTCTTGTTTTGAATTATAGGAAATGAGTTTTCCTTTGACGGTTTGACTCATCATGTCTACTGAAGGTACACCTATTATGATGAATCCACCCAATTCAAGTAGTGCAGTTGATGAAAGTCAAGGCATTACTAATGAACACAGAGAACAAACTGGAGCATTTGAAACAGAAGGAACAACTTCACATGTCAATGAAACAGTGCAAACTCAAGAGGAAGAACAACAAGAAAGTTTTCATACAAATTAAAGGAAAAAGACTTCTGATGTATGGTCTGATTTTGAAGTGGTTATGCTAAACGGAATTAAAAAGGCACGTTGTACTCATTGCTCAAGCCATTTTGCATACTCTAAGTCGGATCCCACGACGACTTACAAAAGACATAAAGATAGGTGCGTTCAGAGAAAACTCTCACTCAGGGTAAGGCTTTGAATTCCACAGACATAATGTTAATGAATACAAGTATACTATACATGTATCATAATATAATAGTCTAGTGATAGGGTATGTTTGGCAAATGGCTTATCAGCCGGCTTTTAGCTTGTTTGACCCATTTCAGCTGTTTGATTGGTCAAAGAAGCTAATAATGATGTTTGGTAAATGGCTTTTAAAATTAGCTTGTTGAGTTTGAAAAGCTGAAAAAATGGATTGTTGAAGAAGCTAAGGGGGGCAGCTTATTCATTCGGCTGGTTCAATTTACACTCTATCAGCCATTTTGAGACAACCAATTTTACCAAACAATTATCAATAATCAGCTAACATAACCAGCCGGTCAAAACAGCTAACACAACCAGCTGTTAGGAAACAGCTGACACAACCAGCTAACAACAACAGCTAACAGCCATTTGCCAAACATACCCATAGTATTAGCTACATAATGTCACTGTTGTGCTAAAATTCTAAATAAAGAATAGCTAAAAAGATAGAATACAACTTTATCAATGAGAATACATCTGCCAGCATCCGATTTTAATCTTTATAACTATTTTTTTTTATATCAATGTGTTCACAGAATAACTAAAGTAGACGCAAACAGAAATGATATATTATGGTATTCCATTGTTATTTTATTTAAAAGACGTGCACATAGCATATGTTTTATTGTTTTAATATGAATGAGTATGAGCTTTTATTGACTTTTTAGGTGATTGAGAAACAAAAAAGGTTAAATCTTTTACCAAGTGATGAAGCTTTTCCAACATTCCCTCCTTTACATTTTGGGAAATTTGATATGGAACAAATGAGGGAGTCTGCTGCACAATGGTTGATGATGAATGAACATCCATTTACCATTTTAGAAGAAAATGGATTTAATCTCATGATGAAAAGAGGAATGCCCGAGTGGAAAAAATCAGCAGGACCACTGCCAGAGCAGATTGCTTTCAGATTTATGAGATTGAAAAGATAAGGCTGAAAAAATCTCTTGAAACTGTGAGTAAAATAAGTTTGACAACGGACTGTTGGAAATCTAACTCAAAAAATTGAATACATGGTTGTCACTGGCCATTGGATCGACTCTTCCTGGAGATTGCAAAAGAGGGTTTTAAGCTTCATAAACATTCCACCACCAAGGGGAGGTCTTTAAATTTCTGATGCTATATTCAAGTGCATGAAAAAGTGGGGCATCGAAAACAAATTTTTTACAGTAACAGTTGATAATGGTACAAGCAATGATTCAGCTATTCGCTATATGAAGGATACTATTAAGAGGTCGAGGAAGTTGGTGTGTGAAGGGATGTTATTCCATGTTCGTTGTTGTGCACACATTCTTAACCTATGTGTTCAAGACGGGTTAGATGAGATAGGATACGTCATTAGTGATGTCAAAGATGGTGTGGAATATGTTAATCATTCAGAAGCACGACGAATACAATTTGCAGAATGTGTGATGAATTAATTACAACTGAAAGATAGGAAGTCGATCTATGGTAGTAAGACTAGATGGAACTCAACCTTTGGAATGTTAAGTTGTGCACTCAGGTTTAGAGAAGCTTTTAAGATGTTACATGATCGTGACCCAAGGTATGATAGTTGTCCTTTGGATGAGGATTGGGATAAGGTGCAAAAGGTTTGTTTAGTTTTAGAATCTTTTTGGACATCAACACACATCATTTCAGGTAGTGAATATCCTACCTCAAATTTGTTCCTTCAGGAAGTCCAAAAAGTAAAATCATCGCTGGATAAGAATGCAAATCATAAAGAATCTTTTATCAAGGATTTAGTTTGCAGAATGAAACTAAAGTTTGATAAATATTGGAGTGAGTGCAATCTTTTGATAGCTATAGATGCTGTGTTGGATCCAACCAAGAAACTGCTTGCTGTTGAGTTTTGTTTTCCTAAACTTTATTTGAAGGAGGAAGTTGTTCAAAACATTTCAAAAGTAAAAGAGACTCTTACCACACTTTATGAAGAGTACGCTGCAGAGTCATTCAACAGAGAAGTGATTCATGGATCACATTTTGAAAGTTGTGGTTCTTTGAATAGTTTGGGGGTCCAAATTGGGACTCAAGTAAACAACAAAAGCTCTACTCAAATCCGGGATGAAGACTTCGAATCTTTTTGTGCAGGAGTTGAGACAGCTGAGCCTCAAAGATCAGAATTAAATGATTATCTAGAAAAAAAGCCGCTTAAAGAAGACTGAGATTTCAAATGACTTTTCTTGTTAGATTGGTGGAGGATGAATAGGTTACAATATCCAACCTTATCACGACTTGCAGCAAATATTTTAGCCATCCCGATAACTTGTGTGGATTTTGAAGCAACTTTTAGCGCGGGTACAAGGGTAATTGATCCATAGCGTGCATCATTGTTACTGAAAACTGTGCAAGTTTTGCTATGTGGAGGAGATTGGCTTCGACATATGCACAAAGTCTCAAAAAAAGAAAGTAAGACAACTTTCAAACTACATTTCTAGGTGAAGAATAAATAATTTTTTTGACTAGTTGTTTCCTGATGAGTTTGTTTCTTATTTTTCAGAAAGAGAAATCATATCAAGAAATCTTTCTTCCACAAGTAACTTGATCAAAGTAAGCTCAGTTATAGAACATTAAAGAATGATATCATTGATTTATTCTTTTTTATATTTGCTGCTCTGGTTAATTTAATTTCCTGAAATAGACCATAATTTTTTTTGCTTCTATGTTTATTTAAATACAGATTGTTTGAACTTGTTCACTGTTTAATGTGTTATAGCAATTCTTCTAATCTGATAAGTAGATATGTTACTTTTGACATTGTAGTTCAAAACAGTTAACCAACTGTGTATTTTATATTGTATTCCTCTTTTGGTGCAATGCATCTATGACGATGTCAATTCAAAATCTGAGCTATTATGCATCTATTCTAATGTTAATCTAACCCGTCTTTATGAATTGCATGGCCTGATAATTGATATACATTGCGCACTAGTGGACATGGGACTGTAAATAGTCCTGGAGTGAGTTTGTTGGTTGGCCATAAAGGAGGCATCAGGGAAAATGGTGATGTTGTTTCTCGTCAAATAGTTCTAACAAACTATTGTTGAACGGCGACCTGAGAACTATGAAGTAAGCTAGTTCTATTTTTGTTGTTCTTAAGGAACATTGTGTAGATCAGTAAATGTAAGAAGATATTATAAGCCACAGAGTATAATATTATTCATTAAGCATGCATTAAGTCAAGCTAGCAGAAACATGAAAAAAGGTTAAGTCAACAATAAAGGACCATAAGAATTTGTTTCATAGACTTCATTTGTCCAATTATTGTGAATCAAGCACTGAGCTTTGATGTAGTGTGTATGACTGGACTAAATGTCAATCTTATCACTGAAAGGGAGCTAAAGGTTGTGACTTAGTAAAACATCGTGCCATTTGTTCAGTTATTCTAAACCAAGCATTAATGCTTGTGTTTCTGTCATTCATAGTTTTAATACAATGTGCATGACTTGCCTAAATGTCAATCTTATCAGTGAAGGGAGCTAAAGGTTGTGACTTAGTAAAACATTTTTCTTCAAGTCTTCATGCATGTGGCTTGGGTAGAGTGCAGATATTGAAATGTGTGATAATGCGTAGAACACATTGAACCTAACCTTAGTTCTCCCTAGGCATCCCTTTCCTAAAAAAAGGAATCTGAAAAGATCTCTGAACCTCCCAGGCAGTGTACAACCTTAGGTTATAATACTAAGTGAGGTAATTGACAAAAGCTTTTGGAGAATTACCTCACTTAGTATTGTGGAGTATGTGGAGTTTACATTGTTTTAGATAGTCACATGTATTATTGGAGTAGTACGATTAGAGTCCCGTTCACATGAACTAAATTTCCATTGTTTAAAAATTTTGCTTGTGCATTAGAGCCTCACTCAAATATGTAAGATTAATTGTTTTGGACGTAATAGGCCCAATAGATGATCCGACCAATATCTCATAAGGAAGAGGGAACAATCAATAGCCCCAACAGGGATCAAGGAGCACCCGACGCTCATCATGGCTTATGCTACGCTCGTCGACTATAAACGGGGCCCGTTTAAGCCAAGGAGTCAAACGGGGGCCTAACCAAGACGCTCGGCAGCCATTGAGCGACATCTTTCCCTTGCGCTTACATGGATTAGGAATCATGAAGGCCTCAGTTGGAACGTCCAACATAATTGGTGGGAAATCCAGGATATTGGCGGGAAACGCATTAAATGCACTACATATGCAAGATTTGGTGGTTGAGAAGGTACCCACTCATGATCTACCACATCACCACTATCATCTACCCCATGATAGTATAAATAGTAGCATTTATTTCATAGTTAGGAGTTAGCAACTTGTATTCACTACCATTAGCTCTAATCTCTTGCACTTATAGCATAGACTAGACGCTCGGCTTGGCTTTCAGTAAGGTGTGATGTAATCATTCGTTATTACTTACTTACTCTTTGATCAGCCCATTCTTACTGTAGTGTACAGTTATTTAGTTTTGAAAAATTGTGTATTACTCGTGTAACTCTATAATGTCAGAGTTACCTATCATATATGACAAACATAAAGGTGTGCATTTATTGTGATAACTTTCACAATTAGCAACTTTTACAATCAGTATGACACTGAACTCAAGTTCCATTAGTCTCTTTGTTTCTTCATTCAACCAAAGCACTTACACATTTCAGATAATGACAACAACCCAAAGTATCTCTTAGTTGAATCTATTTTTTTATGCTTAATAATAATTTTATTTTATGTTGTTACTGCATTATATATTAGGTAAACTTCATTGGTTAACTAACAGTAGTTCATGAACTTTGGTCACTGCCGGAAAAGATATAATTGTGGAATCAAGGAACATTCTAATAAAAAGCATGTTTGTTCTCTTGTAACCTTAGAAACAAAACACAAAACTTCAATAACCTTATCTGTTGGGATATATCATCCCGGCCTATTACTGTTCAGGAGCCCAAGACTTTACGTAGTACGGAGCCCAATCAGTAAGGCCCATTTTAGCCTATCAGGCCTGTTTCGGCCTTTGGGCCCATTTTGGCCCATTCGGCCCGTTAGGGTGGAGAGCCCCCTTTCCCCCTATTCCCTATAAATAGGAGGTTTCCCTCCATGTAAAAGGATCCCTTCCTTCTTCTTTCCTCTTCTAGAATAGCTTGCAAGACTCCATTAATGGGAGCTCAAAATGTACTATGTAATGGTGAGGAGAGTCTAATGAGAATGAGAGGGCTTGGACATTAGCCTAAAAAGTCCCGTGGTTTTCTCCCTTTCGGGTTTCCACGTAAAAACTGAGTGTTCATACATATATTTACTATATCGTGTTGGATTAAACTCAACACTGGCGCCGTCTGTGGGAATCTGTCCAAAAAGATTACATGTGTTCTTCAGTTGTTCTGCAAAGATTCATACGAAATGGACTGATTACAAAAAAAAAGGATTCTGGAAAGCAAGTAGGAGGAGGAAGATTTGACATGAACAAAGAAATCTTTTCTTGGGAGATGTAGGAAGCTACGAAATCTGGAAGTGAAAATCTGAATTTTCCAGATCCGTTTTTTAGGTCGCCGGAGCTGCCGTCACCGTCGCCGCCGGCATGGAACCTCCGTGGTGTTAGCCTGCACCAGACGAGCTCGCTGCAGCGCTCCAGACCTCGTAACCCTTGCAACACCGTTGCTCATCGCTCGCGGCTGGTTCCACCATCTCAGTCGCCGCACCGCCGCTCGACGCCAGCGGTCAACCACTGATTACTCCTCAACCTGGTTGGTCTCTGCTCAAGCCCTCGCCAGCCACTCCCCCGATGCGGTCTGAGGAATTTTCCGGCTGAGACCTCTTGACTTCCGCCATTAATGGCGGTTGGGGGTCAGGGAAGATATATTATGAAGTTCAGCCGATCTTACGTCGGCCTGCCATAGGCTGTCCTCTCCGGCCGTCTTTGCGCCGCAACGACGTCCTTGACCACCGTGGCCAGCAAGTGGACATGAGCCGGTTGTCCTCGGGATGTTGAAGGGGTCATGTTCCGATCTTTCCAAAAGATACTCCGTGTCCAGCCCCTTGGCTCGAAGAGGGCCACGTCTGAAGGGATAAGGACAGCCTGCCATGCTCTCGGTTGGATGGATGAGGCCCCTCCTTGACTTGAGCGGTCAACCAACCTCCAACACTCTTGGCAGAAGCTTTTGATTCCAAAAGCTAAGTATCATACGTACTCCTCATTTACTAATTAACGTATTAATTGGAATTTTGGATGCTTAGTGTGCTATTGTTTTTGTCACCATTATTTAATAGGGAGTCAATACCCGAAATTAAATAATGTCGAGCAAACCTCAGATGAGTAAAGCTCCAGTGATAATTAATTTCACCGTCATTTTAATTAATGATGGGTTGTTGTGTGCCCGTTGGCCCGCTCCTGATCGGCTTTAATTAGTGAACGGAGCGTATCTCAATGATCTTTGGTAGGATGGTATCATTACTATTACCTGTTATATCACTAGCTATTATTTATTAGGGATAAAATATCCCGAATTAAATAATGCAGAGCGAAGCTCTAGTGATAATTAGTTCAGCCAACTTTTTTATTAAATATTTAATTGTTAATGGGTCCGATTAGCCCACACTCGATCGGCTTTGATTAGCGATCTGAGCGTCTCCAGTGGGTAGTGCCCCGACGACGCGTTTTAATTTGGGGGTTACGCATTAGTCTGCGCGGCACAAAGTGCTCGAGCGACGATCGTACCCTAGTACCATCCTCGCCATGACGGGCGAAGTGATTGTTGCCAACGTGGCCTATGGGGCCCGAGGGCACCAAAGCACTCAACCTCGTTTTTCCGAGGGCAGTGCGACCAACTCGGGTCTGAGTTTGAAAACTCACAGACCGATGAATATCTCTATGTGACGTTCGGCGAGCTGCCAATCGGCCCCGCCGCGAGCCGCTACGTCCATTAACCCCGCACGATGAGCCGGGCCGAGGGTCACGAC